AAAAAGAAATATGGACCATCTTTATGGACCAACTTACAACAAAGAATAGTTTTAGTAACTGGAACAGAAAAGATTTAACTCATTCACTCCCAAAGACGTTTTTAAACGTCTTTTCAGACTTAGTCTAGAATTGGCTGGTACTGAATGAGTTAAAGTGCATCTGAAATTCAAAAATAATATTAAATCCTTAATTTAACAATAAATATTTTTTGACTGACCATGTCAAACCATACGATACTGAAAAATAAAATTAGATAAAATCAATAACTAATAATGCATTCAAACTAATCACCAACATTATCTCAGGAGCACAATATTAAAAAAAATTTAACCAGCAAAACAAAAATATACAAAATAATTTGTTTATTTTTTTAATCAAAGATGATGCCTAGATTAATGGCTTCAATGAGCACGTTTTGCAATGCACAGCTTTTCGAAGCGAGGTTTGAAGCAGGACACAGCAACTCTCGGCTTCTGCTCAATGTGTAGCTAGGACCTGTATTTTAGTTTACTGAAGTAGCAGTCACAAAGCGGCATGATTGTTGACAATATTCGGCACGTTTTCGCTGAAAAAAACGAAAGCAGCTTATCAGCGTGATTGGGGTGTAATGTCTTTAAGTGACGCCTTAATTTATTTGGCTTCATGCTGTCCGCTACCAAAATTTTTAGACACAGTAAGCACATCGATCTTTCCTCGTCTGCCACCGCAGTCACATTGAAGCCAAGCGCTACATACGCCTCGTCATATTTCTTCTCTGAGAATGCTCCCTGCGCAAACGCTGCCAATGAGAGCACCACTACCCCCTAAAGCAGTGGAGGTGCAACTGCACGTTATTTTAGGACAGTAAAAAAATAAAAAAAGCATGCTCCCCGAGGTCAAACGTGCCCCCCTTGACGGAGCCTCACGCCCCACTATTTGAGAAACACCGGTTTAAGGTCAATACGTTTTCCAAAATTCATCTGTGTGATCTCTTTCTTTGCAAATATCGCATTTTATAACGTGGAAACAAGCGACCATTAATATGAAGCAGCCAAGGTATGTTCAAATTTGTTTTTAGAACTAAATTTTGCTGCTGTGGCTTTAAATCAGGTAATTGTTTTTTTCAGAAAATTACAGAATATAATGTATCATCTCCAGTGAAAATCATTTCCATAGCTCATACTGAACCCAAATTTATGCCATTAAGTCATTATTACAGCTCCACGGGAATTGGGATGGTTGTAATAATGTTGTCTATGGGGGTAACTAAGTTCAAGCCTTCATTCCCTGGCAGCAGAGGCCCTGTGACTGACGCAAATACTCATAGCTGGTAGTTTGTGTCCAAACAGTACATATCACAATGTTACTGATGGACATGATCATGTTTTAAGTCTTGAGTATGAATAAATTCTCTTTTTCCCGATGTTAGTAGGCAGACAACAAAAAGCCGCTAGTCAGCATATAGCGGACGGTGGTTTTCTCTCCTACCATGAGATTGGCGCTCAGCCTAGTGTATCCCAAGCTCATCTCCTTTACCTCAGGCACCAGGGGCTGGAGAAGAGAGTAGGAGGATGGTGCTGTAGTGCTGGAGGAGGAGATGTGTTTGGAGGAGGTTGAGCTCCTCATACTTGACTGGCTGCTCTGGGATGACACAGTGCTGGCTCGGCCCTGTTTGCAAAAAAAAAAAAAAAAACAGTGTGAATAGTTATCCATTATCAGAAAAAATATCATGAAATGAAAACCACGAACAAGTCCCGAATATGTTTTCCCTACCTGGTGAGAATCAGGGACAGATTGGCTCACGCCACCACTCTGGCCTCCCTGGGACATAGGGGAAACGCAGTGAGAGGGCAGAGGTTCCTGTTGACTGTGTCCTCCGTGCTGCGATTGCAGTATGGAGGAGGCATTGTTCTGCTGTTGTTGCCGCTGCTGCTGACGGCGAGGTGTGGTAGAGAAATTTGAACGACGACTGCCAGACTGAATGGGAGGAGGGACGAAAGCAGAGAGAGGGATTGAGTGATAAGAAATGTGATCAAGCATCCCCCCCCCCCCCAAGCCACCCCCTTATCATGGAGTTTGTGTATATCAAGGATCCTATTTGTTTATTTATTTTATTGGGACAGCGCACATTAATCAACAAGAATAAACCGTGTAAATGCACCGTACTTAGCATCAATGCTAGTTTTCAGCCGTAGTCCTAAGGCAGGTTTCTAGAATAGCACAGTGAGACACATAAATCTTTAAAACCACAATGGCAGAAATAAGAACCAAGTAAGTAAGACATAAAACAGACAATACAAGCAGTTGCAGTACTCAATTACAAGACAATAGAGCAGGGCAGACAAATCCCTTACAGCTACAAATTTGCTGGCCAGAAGCCCAATGGAACAGGCTGGAGTCTGGAAACAGTGTTTAATGGGTGCATGTCTGATGTATTTTTAGTCAATGTTTTTTTTGTTTGTTTGTTTTTTTGAAAAGTGGATTCTCATTACAGCGGCCCGGTGATCCAGTGGTTAGCGCGTAGACCTCACAGTGCAGAGGTATTGGGTTCAATCCCAGCTTCGGCCTCCCTGTGTGGAGTTTGCATGTTCTTTCCGGGCCTGCGTGGGTTTTCTTTGGGTACTCCGGTTTCCTCACACATTCCAAAAACATGCATGAGAGGCTGATTGAACACTCCAAATTGTCCCTAGGTGTGAGTGTGAGCGCGGATGGTTGTTCGTCTCTGTGTGCCCTGTGATTGGCTGACAACCGGTTCAGGGTGTCCCCCGCCTACTGCCTGAAGACAGCTGGGATAGGCTCCAGCACGGCCCGTGACCCTTGTGACTATAAGCGGATCGGAAAATGGATGGATGGATTGTTATCACAGTCTCTAATGTGCATTGACAGCTTATTCCAGGATTGTGGTACTCTTAGGGAGGTGACCATTTGACCAAATTTTTTCTACGTCTTGTTATATTTCCTAGTCGCCAACTTATATGGGGATTGGTGAGGGACCAGACGAAGCATGACCGAAAATTCCCCCTATGATGTGCACCATCTTTGGAAGGCACCAATTAACTTCCTCAGGCTCCTCATCACGTCACAGAAAGCCGTCCCCTTTCTGCCAGATTGGACGCCGTTTTGCCAGTTTTCCATGGGCCTCTACTGTGAAGTTCCTGCAGAAGTTCTTTAGTATGGTTAACTTCTATAACAGCTGTTAGTGCACCCATTTTCCGCTGCCCTGGTCACCCTCACGACAGATGCATCAGACTACGCAGTGGCAGCAGTGTGTGAGTAGTGGGTGGGTGGAGCCTGGCAACCACTGGCTTTCTTCACCATTGAGCTCCATAACGAGAGGAAGTACAGCTCCTTTGACCGAGAGCTCCCGGGCCTCCTCGTCACCACCTTACACTTGCGATTCCCGTTAGAGGAGCACTAGTTCACCGCCCTCATGGACTAAATCTCACTGACATTTGCCAAGGTAAAAACCTCAATGCCATGGTTTGGTCGACAGCATCGTTAGCTCGCCGCCATTTCTGAGTCGATGACAGACATCTAGCAGGGGCCTGGCAAGGACAATTCCAGTATGTTGCACACTGTCTCTCCTGGTGGGTCGGCGGGGCCGTTTAGCTGGGGCGTGATTGCACTCCATGGACGGTGACTGACAGACTGCGTCTGGAAAACCTCATGTTTGGTGACGCCAATGACATACTTTTCTGTGATGTTTCCAACAGCCGACCACACCCCACAGTGGTGTCTGGCTGCCACAGTGCCGCATTTTTGACACCATTCACAGCCTTTTCCACCCGGGTGTGAAGTTTATCTGACAGGATCGCAGGAGAGACGTCAGGACGTGAGCTTGCTCCTGCATGGCATGCCAGCGCCGAGGTTCAGCGCCATACTAGAGCCTCGTTGGCTCGGTTTCTAATGCTGGAGAGACGTTTTGATCATGTATATGCGGACCTGTTTGGGCCACTGCCTTCTTCCTGTGGTATCACTCATCTCCTCACTAAGGATGTAATAATAATGGCAATATCCTGATATTAAAATTCCCACAATACTAGAAGCAGCACCTCTGTTAAAAAGACAAGATTCTTTTCCATTTGTGTAGTTCCAGCACCCTCTGACCGGGGTCCACAGTTCACGTGAGAGCTCTGGACAGCAGTCGCTAAAGGTCTGGGGGTGAAGAGTCACTCACTGCACTGCTGCATGCCGCACGCAAGGCAACGGGCTCTGTGACAGGTTGTATCGTTCTATAAAGCTGCACTGAGGGGCCGGTCCCATGGACAGTAACTGGGCTGACCTTCTCCCGTGGGTTATGTTGGGTCTCCTATCATATCCAGACCTCATCTGCTGAGCTGGTATACGGCCAGCCACTGCATGTGCCTGGGGAATTACTCCTAGATGGCCTTGCCCCCTGGTCTGTTGCCTCTCATCGTGCTATATCCCAAGCTCAACTTTTATATGATCCACCATACCCCATTATAATTTACTTCAAGAGCTCTGGTATGTTCAAGCGCCAACTTTTGTGCACAATTTTTTGCACAATGCCAATTTAAAATGATGGGATGCAGAAAAAAAACATTCATCGATTCTTAAAATAATCAGTTGCAGCAGGAAAATGAATATATGTGTGTGTCTTTTTCATTTCGACACCCTCATATTCAACACCAATATGGCATGTTCTTCCAATACCGTGCAGCCCTGGTGAGCTTGCTAGTGAAAAATGGACCGTCTTGACAACATCGGTACTTTTGGAGCGGTAGAGAAGAACACACGCCAATCAGAGACACGTGCCTTTGAGAACATGCGACTTACCATACCCACCTGCAAGAAGAATATAATTTATTCAAGAACACATATTGGCTTTTAACACCCGGACGAACGTCTGACGTCAAGTTGAATTGTTTTGGAGACATCACTTAAACAACTATGATTTCTGAACACCATCTTACACAGACCCACCTGGCTGGGTGTTGCAGCACTACAACGGTGTTGAGCCAGCTCTAGCATTGTCCTGTAACTCTTGGAGCAGGAAGGGCAGTCAAATCGGTTCGGCCCATCATCATGGATCCTCTGGTGGTTCCGGAGATACCGTGCCAAACGAAAGGCCTTCCCACAACGATCACACATGTAGCGCTTCTGACCATGGATTCGCATATGGTTACGCAAAGACATGTAGTTGGTGTAGGGCTTGCTGCAAAAGTCGCATCTGTATTGTATAAAGAGAAAAAAAACATGTTTAATGTTAAAGAGATGATTACAAGAGTATTGGTCAGTCTCACACATATTGAATTATTGGTGATTATTTCTCCATGTAAACAGCAAAATGACAATGATTTGAAAGATCTGACCCGTGTTGGCAGAGTACACCGAAAGCTTCAGGCAAGTTAAATTCAAGACTTTTCAATTCCATTTAAAACTGAAACTAAGTAAATTCTCAATATTGTTTCTGTCCCATGCTGTCCAAAGTTGCTTGTGTCCATAAATGACATGCAACTGCTAGAAAGAGTCCTGATTATATACAGTATAATCTCTATTTTGTTGATTCTGCTATTGTGATTGCATGAGTCATTCGGTAAATTAGTTTTTTAAGAATGTTCATTTATTTTGAGATTTGAGTATACAGTATTTACAATCATAACATCCTAATGATGTATTAACATTAAAAAAAAACTTTTAGAAACTGATTTCAGACATTTTAATGCCAATTGAGGCCTGGTTTTTAGATTCATGGATTCATTGTCTGTTAAGATTCTGCAGGAACCCTGAGACGAGGACAAATGTCAACCCACACTTCATATACTTCAAATGTTCGAAGTTGGCTCAAAAATACAAGATGACTACTTTTCAAACCGTTTTATTCACTGATGGATGGCATGTGACTTTGGAGTTCTGAATGGTAGTTTTGGATGGCCAACATGTCCCAAAAAGGCTGCGAAATCGAAATGTTGTTGTACATGGGCGGCACACCTCCGACAGCGATCAGACAGACACACGCTCAAATATACGATGGGAGCCGGAACAAAGCAAAATACACAAGACATGGACAAAGTGAGGTTTCCCCCCTCCTTCCCATACATGGGGATTTTTCTTTTCGGGACAGATTTATTCAAATTAAGGCCACTTATATGAAATTTGTTGAGAATATACATTCTGTAATTCTCCTTCATATATCGACATCCTACCAGTTTACCTACTTTTTGCAATATCATATGTCGTCATGTCCCAACCTGCAGTCGTAAAAAACAGTGTTGATGTTGTGTACCTATTTTTGCAAATCTATCTGCCTTCTTGTTTTCAGCTGTGAGGCTTGGTGGGTGGGTTGGGTATTTATTTTCCACTGCTCATTATCCATTCCATAAACTAAAAGCGGCGAATAAAGTAGTGAAAATTTGAATTTTGTCTATTTCACATTTTGTCAATTTCACATTTCAAAAAAACTAACAAAGTTTAAAGCAGGATCTTCTTCATAATTCCATAAATAATTTTGACTCGCTACCTGAAGTCTCCAGTCTTGTGAGTGAGCTTGTGGTTGAGCAAGGAGCTGGCATGTTTGTAGGCGCAGTTACACAAGTCACAGACATATGGCCTCTCATCTGAATCCATGTCATCCGATGCGGATGTTGCTGGTACTGGCGCTCTGGATTCTAAGGAGAGACTGGAACTGGACAGAGAGGCTGAAGAGAGACTGGAGCTTGAGAGCGCAGCTGACGATGAAGGGAGCTGATCACACCAGTTGATGGTTGAACTCGACTGTCACAAAAGATTGAAATTGTTTAAGTGACTACAGTGTTTCCCCAACCTTTAAGATAATGAATCCGATTTTACATTACATAAATCTCACGGCACAACAACAAGGAGGAAAAAAAAAAGGCACAAAAATTATATGTTGAAATAATGATCTCATCTCAGTGGGCGCTTTGCTCCGCCACATCATATCCATTGTGGATACGACAGTTTATTATGTTTGGGTTTGGCAATCTACAAGAGCCATGTAACTCATAGTCTCAAGTAGACAGTCAAGGATGAGCCCCGAGGCTCGAAAACAAACTTTTCGCACTGGTGTAAGCCACTTAGGTTTCAGACCAAAAAATGAATATTTAGCAAAAATGTAGAATTCCAGATATTATTGATGGTGTTTAACAAATCAGGACAAAGCACCCACTTTACAAGAGAGCAAAAGCAGTGGATTGGACATTAAAGCAACGTGAAGCGAATAATATAAAAATGATATTCCGAGCTTAAACCCTTACTTGTAATAATGGCATCAAGCCTGCCACCTATTGACATTACCAGATTGTTGCATTCTTCATTTGAATTTTTTCCCAGGGCTTTACTGCAGCCTCATGAATCAGTTCTTGTTTTTTGTTTTTTTTCTGGAGATTGAGTCCTTCAGTCTCCACTTCAGGAGGGAAAATGCATGCTCTGTCTGTCATGTCAAACTCATTTTTGTCGCGGGCCACATTGTATTTACGGTTACCCTAGACTGTGAATTTTGTGAAACCGCATAAATGTTTAACCACCTCCACATATTACATACGCACCGAACAACAAATAGAAAAATAACTAGTTTTGACATCAGAAGTCAATAACAATGGATTGTTCAAACATTGTAATTATTACATTACATATGGCAATTTAGATTTTTGGGTTCAGACTTTAGCAAGCATCATGGATGTCGACATGCTTGAATTGCTTCTGGGGGCCACATAAAATGATATGGCGCGTCAGATCGAGCCCTGGGCTATAACTTTTGACACCTGTGCTCTATTGGATTGGACTGTGACTCACTTAGCCAGTCTTATGCTACGTTCACACTGGACGCATTTTTAAGCATTAAGCGCAGGGGTGCCCATTACGTCGATCGCGATCGACCAGTAGATTGAGCACTGGTCCCATGTCGATCCGAGGGATGTAGAGGGGAAAAAAACCAACATTTGTGTCTCTGTGCATTTTAGTAATATATTTTTTGTGTTAATGCACACTGCACCCTAATCATTCTATTAATCTCACTTTCACAAAAAGTATTTTAAAAAGAAAATAAAATAAAGCAGGTCATCTTTAACCAACGGTGACATGTGACTACGTCATGGGAAGTTGTTAGCGCTCAGCAGTCTGCAGTTGCAGCTTGTGATCAGAGTTGTTGCGCTATATCTTTTATCGTTATCATTATTCTCATTCAGAGTTTGTTTTGTACAATTCACCGAGGGGGCGGGCAAAGAATGGGAATCTGGAGGGCCGAGCAAGGCATTTTAAAAACGGTACGCGTGAGCTACAATCGTGAACATGCTGCCTAAGTGCGTCGCATGCCTCCACGTCAGGCTGTTCCTTATCATGGCATGTGTGTGTACGTGCATGGGTGCGTATGCGCGCGTGCGCGGTAACGGGTCGATCGCGGGAGGTTGGTTGATCGAAAAGTAGATCTTCGGTCAAAAAAGTTTTGGCACCCCTGCATTAGTGTAATATAGAGTCAATGCAACCAGCACGCTGTGACGTGGTATGAGGGCAGGCGATGGGAAAGACAAATAATGCGTCATGGATCAGAAGAACAAGCGAAACACCTGCCATTGTACTATTTGCAGAACATTATTACATCGAAAGTCCATCCATCCATTATCTGATCCACTTAACCACACAAAGGTCGCAGTCGTGCAGTCAGCTGTCTTCGGGCAGCAAGCGGGGTCCACCCTGAACTGGGTGATTATATTTGCAGCACACCGTGTGGGCGTGACCGTGGCCAAGACAGGCCCGGATTGGTGCGTTTGTTCTGTGGTCAAGCATTATTTTAAAATATTGTTTTATTTTATAAATACAATACGTTCATACAACAAATTTGTTTGGAGGCGAAACTAAGCAGAAACCGTAAGTGCATTAGTTACTATATTAAAAAAATGGGAATGCCAGTCGTATTTTTCTTTCGAATCATCCGTTGAATAGCGTATTACCAAGCTGACGTGTGATGTAGTTGGTCATTTGATCTAAATGGTAATTGCTATGAACAATATTATGAAACAGTCTTAGTAATTCTATGATTTACTAGTTGTAGACATGGTAACTTTATGGATAAAACATTCTACACAAGGTGTACTAATACTAATGTTAACTATCGGCAGCCCTACGGATGACGTGTGGTAGATTCTTTGGTCAGATTGATCGTCGATTACACGGAGCATCGTCTTAGGGTTGCAAAGAAGACGTCAAGCCATATCAATACTATAAGTCGATACTGTATATTCCTCATTCAATTCCTCTTACATGCTTTTGTATTAATAAAGGGGGTGAGTAGCGATTGATATTATGTTTATTTACATAAATAGTACACACACATAATCATGTTAACAGAGTCTGCTTTACTTGTGGCCCATGGTATATAGCCAGATTTTGTGGTCTGCTGTATTCATGATGCCATATGAGTATGATAAAAGTGTTAAACAACATATTTTGATCCATTTATTTTATTGAATAAACCTGGAGTACCCAGCAGCTGATCTAATTATGTTCATTGTTAATGCATAGTTTTCAAACATTTACACTTTAAATATTATACTTTTGAGTATCAGAATTCTTGATTATGCATAGCAGTCAAAATGGATAAATGCATTCCCATGATGAACATTTTCAAAACCCCAAATTTGTTACAGTGGTTTCCCAATGGGTAATCTAACGGAACCGGAAAACTGTTTCTGTTCATTTCTGAAATCCTCAGGCCTGCCATAGTATCATCAAAAGGTTCAGAGAATCTTGAGAAATCACTGCATGTAAGCGTCAAGGCCGAAAACTAACACTGAATGCCCGTGACCTTTGATCCCTAAGGCGACAGTGCATCAAAAAAACGAATTTGTCAAGGATATCAGCACATGGGCTGAGGAACATTTCAATGTCAGTAAATACAGCTCAGCGCTACATCCGTAAATGCAACTCATCACTCTACTATGCAAAGCAAAAACCATTTATCAATAACACCCAGAAATGCCACCGTCAGAAATGCACAAGCTCATCTAAGATGGATTGATGCAAAGTGGAAATGTGTTCTGTGGTCTGACAAGTCCATATTTCAAATTGTTTTGGGAAATTATGGACGTTGTGTCCTTCAGGCCAAAGAGGAAAAGAATCATCGGGCTGTTATGGATAGAAAGTTGAAAAGCCAGCATCTGTGATAGTATGGGGCTGTGTTGGTGACAATGGCATGGGTAACTTACATATCTGTGAAGTCACCGTTAATGCTGAAAGGCCCATACGGGTTTTGGAGAAATGTATGTTGCAATCCAAGCAATGTCTTTTTCACGGACTCCCCTGCTTATTTCAGCAAGACAAATGCCAAACCACATTCTGCACGTGTTAGGACAGTGTGGTGTGGTAGTAAAAGAGTGTAGGTACTCGACTGACCTGCCTGCCGTCCAGACATGTCTCCCATTGAAAACATGTGGTGCATTATGATGCGTAAAATATGACAATGGAGACCGCAGACTGTTAAACAGCTGAAGGTGCACATCAAGCAAGGATGGGAAAGAATTCCACCAATAAAGCTAAAATAATTTGTGTCCTCAGTTCCCAAACATTTATGGAATGTTAAAAGAAAAGGTGGTGTAAGACAGCTGTCAACATGACCATGTACCAGCCTTTTGGAACATATTTAAACCAGAAAATTCAAAGTTAATGATTATTTATTTGTTCAAAACAATCAATTGTATCAGTTTTAATATTAAATATCTTGTTTTTGTCGTGTATTCAATTAAATATAGGTTCAACATAATTTGCGTGCCAACTGCATTGGAATTGTATTATGAAATTTGTTGAGAAGGTAATTCTATGGAGCTGTCATTCAAAACAAAGCAAATGTTAGTTTTTACAAGCAATGGTTAGCTGAGCAACGCAAGTTGTGCAAGAAATTGATCGGAATGTCACTATATTACATACATCCTCTAGACATTTTATTTTGTTTAAATAATAAAATAAAACCATCGCACATCACAAATGAAAACAATCAATGGCAATCACTGGTAACAAAAACACACGTATGACAATGATTAATGCCCTTATAACTTCATGAAATGCATTTGCATCACATAATGCATTTTAGGAACCAAAAAGAAAATGCATGAAGTTATTTTTTACAGCTGGCCCCTGCTGTTTGGGGGGAATTGGGACCAGGCTGCCCATCAATCGCAAAAATCCACATAACTGATGCCCATTGAAATGCATTGGGGGGAAACAAATACTATTTTGTGTATTATTATTATTTTAATTAATCGGTCATTTGTGTTTTTTTTTTCTGCCAAAAATCAGCATCACCCTCAAAAAATTCCTATCCGTTGTGCCCTATATAAATACACACGCACGCACGCGCACTTTAAAACAATTTGAGTAGATTACTGGGTGGGTTGGGGAAATACCCCAGATCCCACAACTACGAACTGCAGCCTGGCATGACAAAATGCTTTTTGAGAGTCCCCAGTAGGATTCCTTCCGCTCTTGTTTCCGGTTGGTCAAGCATCGTTTTGTTTCTTTGAGATCACAATGTTGCAGTCAATGCTCATGCAAGCTTCAACCAAAATCATTCTGATTCCAGCTAACGGTCCAGGGCAAACTTTCCCATTTACTTAACTCTCTCACAAACAAAAATGTATAGTTCGTGCGCCACCTTGTTTAGCTCTGACTCCACAGCTACCAACAAGGTCCGTCTTAAATGTTAGCAATAGCTTGTATCGATGATTTTCCACAACATTCGCCAGTCACTACGTTATTCCGGACCAGGCGCAGTATATATTTACTTGGTACGGAAGATGCACTTTACGTGATGCGAGTTGTCTCCGTCTTGGAAACACGACCCACACGAGATTAAACCACTAAACATTGATTGGAGCAAATACTCAAATAGGCCACAAGCCGTTCCGGTGCCTTAGCAAAAGGCTGAAGAAGATGCCCACACAAACTACAACGTATAGTTTGACAGATTGACGTGAGACTCACACGTGACAAATATATTTCAATATTAGTACTACCGAGAAAGAGATGTATTTGTTTCCTGTTATAAAAAAAAATAATCTGATTCGTTCGCCAAAATTTTAGGCAGTGAGCATTCTTACGTCGTGTGGATCCTTTTTCCAGAATAATTGGGAGCAATGGCCAAAAGATTCTGTCGGTGTCACATAATTCACTCCATTTCTGTCAGGAAAATCTCCATGTGAGCTGCCGGTATTAGTCCTAGCATACATCGTTGCTTATGAGGTCCTTTGTATTTTATAAATAATAATCCAAGCCGCTTTGTCAGGATCTTCTGTAAAGAAAAATATTTCTTCTCTGAAATAAGCGTTTTGGCGGTGGACAAGTGGAGGAATACGGTTCACTACTGCCTTCTGTTGGACTGGAGTATAATAAAACGAATTTAGAAACTAGATTTCAAATGCAATCCAGATTGCGCCTTGAGTAACAATTTGTAAGCAGAAAAAATATTACTCTTTTAATTTCCTTCGTCACAGTATTTTGAAAATACACACTGATAATTTGCCCTCATCGTACATTCATGCAACAGCAGAAAAATAAGCAATAATACCTTACGGTACTGTTGAGATGGGGCTGTAATAACAAAGCAGCTCGGTTAAAAAGAAACCTATTTGGGTTGTTTTTGACCAAATATAAAAAAATAACCCAAATTGGTTTCTTTTTAACCGAGCTGCTTTGTTATTACAGCCCCATCTCAACAGTGCGGTACTTAAAGTTTACCAAGCTGGACGGTTTGTCCCATTAAATACAAACCCATTGATCCATTTAACCCAACAGGTGAGAATTACTTTCCAAAAATCTTATTTCAAATTAACTGCAGTTATGGGATGTTTCAAGTTCCGTGTTTTTTTTAAATATATATACCGTCCCCCAGTGGCGGACCCTGAGGGCCAGCAAGGCCTTCTCTGCTGGCCTAAACATTCTCAGAAAAGTAAATTTACTTTTATGTATTTTATGTTATTTTATAATTTATGTTATTTTATTTTCATAAATATGTAAACAAAATTATTCTCT